CTACTGAGCTATCTTGCCGGCCCCAGTATCCAGTTTCTTGACTTATTTTGTATATGTGGGATCAAAATTGAACTGTGTGGCCCCAGGGAGCTGGAACCTGAAGCGCTGAGTAGATGAGTCACTGAGAATGAGATTCTCACTTGGGTGAGAACAAATTGCTAGTAGACTCTTTAGGAAGTGGTTCTGTTGGACACGGTGGTTCCCTATCCTACTGGGTTTAGTCAGGCCAGGCATCCTCAGCTCAGAGATGCTGTGAAACACCTGAGCTAGGGAGGACGGTGGTGTGAGGTCCACAGGTAGGAGTGGCCAGAGACCTTGGTCCTTCCCATACACCTTTAAGTTGTTTTGTTGTCACCATGGCCTTCATTGCTGGAGACTCTCAGGCCTGTTGCTGCTCTCCCAGTGCAGGGAGGGGGGACAGCACTGTACAGAGCATCCCAAATTCAAGGCAGAGTATTGAATAAGGCAGTGCCTTCCTTTCCTGGACCCTATAATTTATTAACAAAACCTGAACTGTGTTAAACTTTCCTTGGTGCCCAAACCTTACGTATGCCTTTCTGACATTTGTTACTGAATTTAAAGTTTGTCCAATCCTTGTAACTTATCTGATCTGCTATCCGCAAACATCTTTAATACACCCACCTTAAAGAAGGGAATTTTGCAAAATCAAAACTTTATACTAACACTTTACCCCATTGGTTTCAAATTATAATTGTACGGACTTTGGGATGGGACTGAGCAGGTGGCTGTGAGTGCTGATTCCCCGAGGCAGCAAATTCCCCCCATGGCATGAGGTTTTGTAAGCATGCCTTCTTCACTGTTACCCAGGTTAGCACTGGAAACTCACAATTCTTGGGAAAAATATCTCTTGAGATCTTCCTTCAAGTAATGCAGTCATAAGCTAAAGAAGCAGAGAAGATCATATGGATCTCTAGCTCAACATTTTTATTGTTAGATAAAGAAACTTAGATTTATAAAAATAACAATCTAGTGGCAGTGTTCAGTCAATTAATGTCATGCCTTTCCATTTGTCCAGGAAATATTATTTTAAAATGTTTTGCAGGAATAAAGCAAGTATGGTATTTGGTATTAACACATTTCAATATAACATTTTCCTAAGGAATCATCTATTTTTGCCAGATACTCACAACATCACACATGCACGCACACACACGCACACACACACACGTACATGCGCGCACGCACACACATACACATATACACACAATCATTGGAGTGACATCTATTTTTGTCTTATTCTGGAATTTTTAAATCTTTTATTCATTTTAATGAGAAAAAAGATAAAATGGCGGTGAAACAGCTTCAAAACAGGTTAGTAGGACACTTACAATAATTAATGCATTGCATATTGTCTTCTTAGTAGTTTTTCAGAGGACAAGATGTAGACATGATATCTTGTCTAAACAATATTAGCACAAACCTTTCTTCTCATTGAAGAGAAAGTGTCTGTATGTGTATCCTAACTATCTTGTATATGCATTTTTTTTCACTACAAAATGGTCCTTTATTTATATCCCACATTTTTATTTTGTTTTGTCAGACATGGGTATTCCACTGCAGTTAGAGAAGCTGTATTTGGAGAAGTCTTTAAAGGACCTTTTCATACTTGAAGCCAGTCTAAAGACTGTAGGTACTTGAATTCAGCAAAATAACCCATATAGTCCAATAGTCCAGAATAGTAGTGGGTTGTATCAGCAGAACGGGCAATTGTCAGAAGGTGCTGACTTAAGTCTTTTACAGTGCAATATATTAATACAGCATTACTTTTTATACCTCATGGTCATACTTTTCTGCTGGGTGGTTAAGATCAAGTTAAAGTGAGACCTATATAACTAAAAATGTAACTTTTGTATCTGACAAGGTCAGTCAGATCCCCTCAGGATTTACCCTGAAACCATGTACAGTATCTTGTAGATCTTTTGTCAGTGTCATCTATCTGGATAAGTCATAGCCAGTGCTTGACCAATTTGCTCTCTGTGAAAGCCTGAGAGAATGTTTCGTCTCTAGGTGACTCTCCTTAGGCACAATATACACTGCTGATCACTTTCCTCTGTGACCCCCATAATCTCCTTGATCAGAAAATTTGGGATACTACTGAGTTACAGGATGTCACAGCCCAAGTTCTCTTATGTCCTGAGTCCTCACTGACCTTGAAGGGCTAGGGCCAAAATATTAGCTACTCGTGTAGTCCCTCTATTTCCCTAATTTTTGATCTGCAAACTTTAGTTGTTAAACATCCAGAAAAGAAACTTAATGATATTATTACCCTATAACAGAGACAATTGAGCTTAACATCATTATCTGTCTGAATATCAAATGCTTTAGACATAACATGGAACGGCTATTTTCCAACAACTTTGGATATTCTAAAATTTAGATCCCTATGGAATGTGAAAAAACAATTACACATTTTTACACAGAAATTTAGAAGTCCAACCATATACAACATTGTAGTAGGACAATCCTATGACATTTTTTTTCTGGTCTCTTGTTTTCTTTTATTACTTTTTAAAAAACAAACATTTACTTTAAAGAGAGTATAGCAATAATTGATATGATATGAGAAGAAGTACACAGAAGATCAAAATGACAGGTATTTCAAACATGGTTTTAGTATTACGTATTGATTGCTATCCTCAGTATAGTTGCTTAGTTCACAGATATCAGCATATAGAGTAGGTCAGGGTGAGAGTTCTACCCATTAACTGCTATTTTCAAAAACCTGATGGAGACTCTCAGGCCCATTGCCTTAACCATCTTGTGTATATAAATGTATGGTTTTGCCCCTGCCATATTTCCTAACTTTTCTCCTTTCTCTCTGTTCATTG